TGCGGAGTGATCGCTGCTCCCGACGACCCCAGTTCCTGTGCGGCTCGGACCTGCCGGGGGTCCGGGCCGCGAGCCCCCGGATTGCGTACCTAGGGACTGCCTGTTGCGTCACACTGGCCATACGGGGGTCCGATGGAGGACGGGGCGGTGGACGGCGGGCTGTGCAGACGTCATTCACTTGGCATTTTTTTAAGGACACTAGAAGGGGGCGTGGAAAACGAAGAGTCTGCAGTTGGAGAAGTATCCACATGGCGTGGCCGCGACGGGCGCGCTCGCCGTGCCCCCGCCGTCGGGCGTGGTCACTGACCAGGCCCCGTCTCCGAAGGCCTCGGTGCCCCCCGACTACCTCCCCGCAGGTCTTGGGTTTGGGATGGTGGCGCGGCCCAGCCGGAATCGGGGGCCCAAGACTTGCCCACCACCCCTACCCCCGGCGAGAGGAGCTGGGGAGACCCGAGGGGCAGCCGAGCCCCAGCCAGCGCGCTGACCAGCGCGACCACGGGCTGAGCAGCGGGTGTGTGATAGCCGCGCGGGGGAGACCAGCAAGCTCAGAAAACAGTATGCGTCTCTGGCAACTAAGTTCTAAAATATGAAAAGTGTGTCACAGCTGAACCCGTGTTCTAAGGTAGAGCTTTAACATTATTATGCTTTCCCAGCTGTGAGCTCGTGGGCACGAGGGCGACACCTCCCGGTTTTCCTAGGACCCAGGGTTCTTGGGACATGGGACTTTTAAGTGCCAAAACCAAAGTGCTAGCTGGGACCCAGGGCACCGAATAACAGGATAAGTTGGGCACATCTCTTCCTGAAGCGTCAATTTAACGGGAGTTAGATTTGTGTAACTTAATATTTTCAAAATAGTAACACCAAGATTATTCCAAATGCACAAGTTGCATTAACTTTCAGACAACCTCGAGGACATACCGTGTTCTCTGGTGCGGCGCCGCGGGTGGGAGGTCCAGCGGCTCTGCTCTAACGTCCCAGATAAACACGCAGCCCTGCTCTTCTAACTTAAGGCACAAGTGCGGGGGCAATGACAGTCCCTGTGACGAGCTCGAATCCTGCTTTTGGCCGGTGTAGACCAGGTGCTAGGGTGCCGCGCTGTTTCCTAGCTGCCCTGCACCTTTCGGCTTAGGGTCGTCTCACCTGATGGACTACCTAAAACCGCTCAGTTATTTTCAACCCTGGTTTTGTCACAGCAGTCCACCGGGAAGTTCTCATTCACATCAGTTCGCTCAGCTTCAAAGAGTAGGTTGTCGGCCGCCCTGAGGAAAACAGTCTGAACGTCAAGCAACAAACAGCTTGAGACACCCAGACTGACGTCCAGATCTGCTGCCTCCAAAACCAAGCCTATCTACACGACACCCAGGAGCGGAAAGGAGTGGTCACAATGCCAGTTTAGCGCAACCGACAGCCAGAGAGCTCTGGGAGGCGGGAGAGGACGGACCCCTCGGGAACCTCCCCGCCCAGCACAGGCAATCTGCAAGGGTCACAGAGGGAACCCACAGGGGAATACTTACTTTTCGGCACCTAGCCTTTAAACCAAAGTCTGAGTGGCCTCGCTAAATGGTTACGACGCATGCTGAATTGCGACAGCGCCAACCTCCAAACGCAGTATGTAACACACGAGACCGAATACCAAACTATATTTACTGTTTACAGTAGTAAAGGGCAACAAAGAAATGTACAAATTGGTGAATAAACAGCCAGCAGGCCCCACCCGCGCCCCGACAGCAAAACACAAGAGAAGGCGAGACTCCAGGCAAGCAAGAGACGGCGGTCACGGTCGCGCTGTCCAAGTGGCAGACGAGGCAGAGCAGGGCCATCAGGCAGCAGTGGGTCCGTACGAAAGGGCAGTGGGACTCAGGGTGGAACAGATACAGATCCCCAGACGCTTCACAGAACTGAATCACAGCTAAGATTCGAGAAGCAGCAGAGCACAGTCCGTGTGAGGGCCAGGAAGGCCCTGGGCGCGGACCTGCGTGTGGCCACACTTGTAAGTAGCTCTTTGACACAAAAACGTCACTGCAAATTCGGCAATACTTAATCGTACTTTTCTATATAGAGGCCATAATTACTCATCAGAAGCAAATACGGGAAGAGAACTGAGGCCACAGTACTATCACCAAGTGAGAGACGTGGGGGTTACTTTCCTCTGCATTAAGAAAAGGGGCAAAGCCAGTTGTCACTGACCACGCTTCTCCCGTGTAGCATCACGGGCGCTGTGCCTGCCACTGCCCAAGGGGACATCGAGGAGCAGAGCACCCCGGGCCCTGTTGCTGAGGGACTCAGCTGTTTTCCTTCTTACCTTTCAGAAAGCATTCCAGTATTCTCCCTTCGACTACCATATTCTCACAAAACTTAAATTTGCAATATTTAGCACTTAAAAAACCTGTGCCTACAAAAAATGGGAACCGGAAGTTTGTCTCCCATTCCCCACCGTGCCCCCAACACTTGTCCCACAGAAGCACTCCCAGTGTGGTGACATGAGCTCTCTACATGATCGGAATAAGCGGTGGGGGGGGATTGGGGGGGTGTCAATACCTGGGATAAGATCCCCATCTAGACTAAAAGGGGACATTCAGGCCACAAGCTGGGGGGACATGTCATAGGAAGGGGAAAGAAAAACAAAAATGAAAGCAAAATCCCAAAAAGCCTCACGACTCATTTCCCTAAACGAAGATGACAACTGTGCCCGGCCCGGGTTCAGGTGAGGGAGGATTCATCCCTGCAGAGTTCTGAGTGGCACCCGCAGTGTGTCACAGAGGAAAGGAATGTGGGTGGATGTCCTCGGTCTCCGCAGACTCCTTTGCGATTGGCATGGTCACGTGCTCACTATTCAACGGCAAATACAAGGACGGTGACGAAGGGGGGCCGTTCCGTTTAGAGGCGGCGTCCTGCGCGGCAGCCGGTCTCCCTCGAGCCCCCCGTCTGCTGCTGGAACACGTCGATGGTGTCTTCGTCCTCCATCTCCAGCTGGCAGGGTCGGCGTGACGGGCACAGAGACAAAAGGAGAAGCTGTTAGTTTTCTCGCCGTCACAGAAACAAAAACTGCTCGACGAAATACACCTATCTACAGCACTGTCCCCATCACTGGCGCACACGGGCTGTCACACCCTTGCTCTGTGGCCGTCACTCCTGGGTCACAGGCAGGGAGGAGAGGCTACGCTTAGGATTCCCAGCACACTGCTCATTCAGCAGGCCTCCCCTCAGAACTCACGAAAGAACATTCAAGGCCAACTTCAGCTGATAGAAAACGAAGTCTCATTAAAAAACGGACAAGGATGTGACACTGTTACTGAAAATGACACAGAAGCAGATTCCAGTCAGGAACAGCCAGTGAGCGGCAGCAAGTCCTGGGGACCAGCAGGGGCACCCCCTTCGTGACAAGTGCAGTGGATGGTGCCTGCAGATTCCAAAGCAAACCGAATCTCAACATAAGGCGCCACCGTGCGAAGGCCCGCTGCGGGCGCCCGCACCCGCTCCCCAGCACCCCCCCTTCAAGGCCAGGCCAGGGGTGAGGTGACGCCCCTGCTCCTGACCCCGCAGCACAGACCCCTCCCACGATCTCCCCCTGTTCTCAGAACAAAAGCTCCTGCCAGTCGGAGACCAACACGCTGGAGGCAGGAGCGTCCGGAACCATCTCAGACGTGGGTACAAGGAGCGGGGCCGGCGGCCACCATGCTGCAGACACTACCTGGACAGGGCCAGGGTGACGGGCGGGAGGAGGGCTCCCCGGCCCCCCGCAGGGCAGCCTCCCTCCCCCGGGAACCCTCGGCGCCCACCGCTGCCTGGGTGGCTGCACAGTCCCGCAAGTGGGCAGAGGTACACAGCCGTCCCTGGGAAGGGCCAGGCAGACTCTGACAGTCGGTGGCTCTGGGTCACGAGGTCATCCAGCCCATGAATGACGAGGGCCCAGCCTGGACCACAGCCTCTGCCCGGGTCCGCTGCCAGCAGGGCCTGGGCCTAGGCCGGACTTGCGCTGACCCCATGGCCTGGGCGCCCGCCCCAGTCCACCCAGACCCGCGCCCATGCCCCATGCCCTCAGCGTCCAGCCCACGCCCCACATCTCCCAACGCAGAGGAGGATGTCCCACAAAGGCTTCCTTCCCATTTGAAACAATGAACCTCCGAATTTAAACACTGAACCACCTGGTAATAGGCCCCTGAGGACACTAAGGTGCCCCACGAGGGCCAGTGGGGGCCTCAGTCAGATGCTGCTGCCATACCTGGGCCGGGGTGTCCGCCTCGTTGATCGGCTGCCCATCGAACCGGAACCTAATCTGTCTCATTGACAAGCCCTGTAACGAAAAGGCAAATACCAGTCCATATTTCCAGGCAACGCATTAATTCAGAAAAGTGAAATATTTACACCAAAATACCAGAATTCAGAACACACAGACTGACGAGCCAACTGATTCTAAACCCGCCGGTGGGCCTGTAATCGAGTCTACGTGACGGCAACACCACATCTTCAGAAAGTACCATTCTAGCAGCTTCTAGCCCAACGCACATCCTCACCCTCGCTTCCCCCCATAAGCCAAGCAAGCTTTCCACAGTGCCGGCACCACCGCGACCCCCTTCAAGTCTCTCAGTAACAGGCCAGGTGACGAGGCATGTGACAAGGACGCCGCTGGACACTGGGAAGCAATCCCAATGGCTGGGGCCTTGAGAAAGGCAGGAGGACACTTTCCATCCGCAAAGGAGCACGTGTCGCCTTTCTGTGTCCCGAGGGAATGTGAACAGGTCGGTGTGCAGAGACGACCACCTTTAAAAGGCCGTTCCGACTTCACGCAAACAGGACAGGCAGGGGTCGAGCCCACACCTCTGCCCCACCCCACCCCCGGGACCCTACTGAAAAGCATAAAGAAATAAAAAGCAACGAACAACAGGACAAAGAGCGGGAGAGGGCAAGGGCCAACAGACCACGGGTGTCACCGCTGAGCTGGAAGCTGAAGGCTCCAAGGCTGTGGACACTAGACCCCAAAGTAGGGGTGGGGTCGGGGCAACAAGATGCAGCCCCGAGAGGCGGGGTCTGGCACAGCCACTCTGGGAGGCCGACATGCAGCCAGCAGCTGATCTAGGGTGATGCCTCGAAGATCCTATCAGCCCCCAAGCCAAGGTCCGCAATCCCAGAGCCCAGGAGCTGCCCCTCCCCCAGACAGAGGGAGCCCGGGCCGCAGCCCAGCGGTGGGGAGTGGCGGGCACTCCCACGGCACAGGCAGGAGCCTGGAGGTCACTTCTGGGAAAACTCAAGGACTCACAGGCTGCCACATCCGGGAGACCCATACCACGAACCCTAGCAGGCCGCCCCACAGCAAGGTGTGGGCCCTGTGCACGCGCGCGCGCACACACACACAAGCATGCAGCTTTTCACCAGGTTTCAGTGCTTCGTTCTTAGATGCGAGCAGTTAATCGAGGGTTAGAGGGCATTTAAGGGGAAGACTCAATGTGTGAGACCAGACCAGATGGAGAAGGGAGGGCGCAGGTGGGGGAAGGGGTCCAAGGATACACCACACACGCACACGCGTGCACGCGCGTGCACGCTTCCAGTTCGCAGGAATGTGGAAAGCAACAGTAAGTCTACTGGGGAAGAAGCCTCAAAGCACAAGAGCTTAGAAACTGGAGATTAGCAATCCCGACAGGAATCAGACCGTCCACATAAAGTTGAGAAAAGGCCCCAGAAAAGAAGCCCACAGCGACGACGAAACCGGTGCAGAACAGGTCAGGACCGGTGAACAGGTCCCTGCGACACCACCGAGGAGAGGGAGCCGAGGCGGGAGAGGGACACAGCTTTCAGGACCGACAGAGGTGCGGTTCTGAACCGAGACGGGTTCCCAGAAAGGCAGAGCTGAAACCGCACCCCGAAGCACGCGGCGGTGGGAGCCCCAACACGGGCGTGGGGCCCCGACAGTGCTCAGAGGGAGGCCGAGTTACCCGCAAAGGCGACAGACCCAGAATGCCACTGGACGGTCACAGCAACACCGGAAGCCGGGGGCAGACAACACAGGAAAATGAGTTTTGACCCTGAAATTTCTGTGCACTCCAATATCCCAGGCCGAAGGTGTATAGGAAGCAAGTCGTTTTCAGACGCTGTGTCTCAGAGATGCTGCGTTTTACATACTTTTTCTGAACAAGAGCCTGGAAGACGTGCTCCATCAAAACAGGAAAGGTGATTAATACAGAAAATACACCGGAAGGAGGGAAAGAAACTTCCAGAACAACTCAGGCGGCTCTGGAGACAGCTAGCCTCAAAAGCAAGCTGTCCAGGGGGCACAGGACAGGAGGGGCTCCCAGGACAACGGGAAAAGCAAGGACGCAGCAGTGCCTGCCTACGTGGGGGGCTGGACAGCACGGGAAACGTGGGGGTGCGTCCACAGTGGGCCGCACCACCACCAGACGAGGAAGAACGACACTCGACAGGTCGTGGCAGACGAGCGATCGAATGTGAGGACAAGGACGAGGGAGAGCGCGCCGTGGCTGCAGCATCAGCCGAGTCGCCACCTTTCACAGGTAAAAATAACTTCTAAACTGAAAACGCAGAACAGCGTGAGCACATTTACCGAGAAAAAGCTCAAGAGAAAGTCGAAACGCTGGCAGAGATGCTTCTGGGGAGCAGAGTTTGAGAAGCAGGGGCCAGAGCAAGACGTTGTGACGTCACTTTCCTGCGGTGTCCTGACAACAAACTCCCAAGGCCGGAGTCTCAAAGCCAACAGCGGAGGCCGACTCGGCACTCGCGCTCCCACGGCGGCAGAGGACAGCTGCCTGCTGCTCAGAGAAACGGCTCCATCGAGGGGGCGCGGGGCAGGCCGAGGGCACCAGGAGCCCCACACCTCGTCACTCCAGAGCACTGCGCGGGCAGAGCCGCCGAGTGAGGACTCGCGGGACTGGACGGGCCCTGGGACCAGAAATGAGGCCACAGGAGCACTGATGAGAACAAAACAGACCGAGGGACAAAGCACAGGTACACTGGAGCCACGAGTTCAAAGTGACACTACCAACAGCGACAGCTAAAAAAGTGCAGTCTCACTGGTCACTGTGGGAGGAGGCCAGTGACGACTGATGAACCAAGGGAAGGAATCGGGCATCATCTGGAAACCACACTGTGACCAGGGCTGCGTCCCCACAGACATGGCCCAGCCACCGTGGGGAGGAGGAGGAGCTGCACACAGGTTCAGGCTCTGTGACCTCGGAGGGAGGAGCTGTCCAGCCCGACCCCAACCCGGAGGCCGCCGCCCCCGCCTCCTGGGGAAGGGCGGACAGTGGATCTGCTGGGACAGGCGGTGGGCGCACCCTGGAGACGGGGCGGAGAAAGGCCACAGAGGAAAGCGCACGTGTGCGCAGACACGCACATGCACACGAATACACACACACGTGCACACACACGCATGCATGCAAATATGCACACGTTCAGACGCACAAACGCACGCGCACGCAGGCGCTCCAGTGCGCACACACGCATGCATGCAAATATGCACACGTTCACAGACGCACAAACGCACGCGCACGCAGGCGCTCCAGGCCAGCGCCCGCCGCAGCGCACCTGCCTCTCGCAGTAGGCCTTCATCAGCTTGCTCAGCGGGGTGTGTCTCTTGATTTTGAACTGGACCACAGAGCCGTCCTGCCCGGCCACCTTCAGGTTGATGTGGTCATTCTCCGTCTTCACACCCTCCTGCAAAAGACGCGAACGGGGCCTTGACACCACATTTCAAGACGACCACGGTTTTAAGGCCAAGTCTTTAGGTAATTGCTGGGTTTTTTAAGCCATTAAAAGCAACCTAAGTCTTAAAATTCTTTAGCAATCTAGAGCCAGCCACGTGACGTTTATTTTTACACAGAATTTATTTTTAACATCCGAGCATCCGTGTGTAAGGAAACGCGACGCAGATCTACAGAGCTCACAGATTGTTAATTCAAAGAAAAAAGTCCGCTTAACAAATGTAGGAGAAAACTGGAAGTCCCGTCTGTCGCAAGATGGGTCCTGGGAGGCTGGAGGGGGGGCCACGTGCTGTGAGCAGCCGAGCCAGGCCGCCCACACGCGTCCACCTTCCTGCTGCCCGCGACCGTGGGGGGAAGCCCAGCCCTCCCTGTGCAGTTTCGCCTTCGGTCAGTCCCACCTGAGCGGGGACGTTCCCGGCATCTGCCTTCACGTGAGCCCTGACGTGCTCACGCTCCCGAACAAGGACGCACAGTTCCTGTCTCCTGGAAACACGTGGACTTGACGCAGCACGTCTGTCACGGGGCAGAGGCTCCGTCTGCAGCATCTCCTAGGAGCCAGAGTGACGCGTCCGCAGTGACACGCCCCTCGAGGGTCCTGCAGGCACAGTGCCGCCTCCTTTATCTGGCACCGTTTGGGAATAAAGGAGTCGTTTATTTTTTAATGAAGTGATGAAGCTGGCCCAAGTTTTGATGGAAATCAAAGCGTATGCTGCACTTTCTCCGGCTGACACACATGCTCATCTCTTCCTGGATGTGTCACTTGTCAGTGTGGCCCTGGAGGAGTGACCGCCATGTCAGGGCTCAGCGCCAGGACTACTGGCAGGCTCCGTGGAGGATTCCACACCTCTCCCCTACCCGCCCTGCTGGGAGGGCTGGGGCCCTGCTCCCCTCCCTGTGTCCCCAGCCACCCAACAGAAGGGGCCTGGAAGCAGGCGGCTGCATCCCGCACGCTGGCTCTTCAAATTCTTGTGTGGGGTGCAGCTCTGTCCAGGGTTCTTGGAGCAGCCGAGAAGTCGCCCCAGGAGGCGAGACACCAGCAAGGAGCCTGGAGGAGGATGCCCGGGGGAGGCGCCCACTGGCCACTCGGCCGGGCACCACACACGCCGCTCATGCCCGCAACCTACACTCGTGTGGGGTGGGAGAGCTGGCGGGGCAGACAGGTGCTCAGTGACCCCCGGTCGAGACGCGCTGGGCGGCCCCTCTTGGAGCACCCGCTCTGTTTCCCAGAGACTAAGAATGCATTTGGGTATTTTTTGCAGTTGAAGGTTTTATTTTGGAATGATTTCACATTTACAGAAAAGTTGCAAAACAGCGCTCACGAGCTCCTGTGCGCCCCACGCCCGTCCCCACGTGGACGTCTTGCAGCCCCATGTGCGTGTCACAGCTGAGCACCCAGCACTGCCACGTCATTAGCAAGGACACTTCGAGCTTTCTTGGTATTCTGCCAGTTTTCGTCCTATTTCTGTTGTGGGATCCGATCCAGGGTACCACGTCACGCTCGTAGATATGGGGTTTTTTTCCATTATTTTTGCTTTGTTAAAATACAATGTAAAATTTACCATTTCGACCATTTTGGAGTTTTTTTTTCCATTATTTTTACTGTGTTAAAATACACACAATGTAAAATTTACCATTTCGACCATTTTGGAGTGGCATTAAGTACGTTCGTAAGGTCGTGCAGCCGTCACCACCATCCTCTCCAGAGCTCTTTTTATCTGACAAACCTGAAATTCTGACCCACTGAACAATAACTCCTCGCACCCACATCCCACTTTCTGTCTCCATAATTTTTATTCTAGGGACCTCAACGACATGGATCATGCAGTATTTGTCCTTCTGTATCTGGCTTATTTCACTCAGCATAATGTCTTCAAGGTCCATCCACGTCATAGTGTGTGTCGGAATCACCTTCCCTTTCATGGGTGGTTAAAACTTCATTGTATGGACGGGCATTTTGCTCACCAGCTCATCCATCGATGGACACTTGGGTTGCTTCCACATTTTAGCCATCACCAATAATGCTGCAGCGAGCGCTGGTGCGCGAGTATCTCGAGACCCTGCTTTCAATTATTTTGGGTATGTAGCCAGAAGTGGGATTGCTGGGTCATATGGTGAATTTCTTTTTAAGGAGCTGCCATCCTGTTTCCCACAGCCGCTCACCATTTTACATTCCCACCAACAGTGCACAAGGGTTCTAATTCCTCCACGTCATTGCCAACACTTTTTATTGTTTTGACAGCAGCCATCCTAGTGGGTATGAGGTCTTGGTTTGCATTTCCTCGATGATGATGTTGAGCATCTTTTCATGTCCTATTGGCCATTGGCCTATGTCTCCTTTGAGAAATGTCTACTCAAGTCCTTTGCCCATTTCTAAGTGGGGTTGTTTTTTAGTTGTTGAGTTTTAGGAATTCTCTATACATTCTGGATATTAATCCCTTGTCAGATATACGACTTACAACATCTTCTCCCCGTCTATAGGTTACTTTTTCACTGTTGATAGTGTCCACATCACATTCCGATGCACAAAATTTTAATTTTCATGAAGTTCAGTTTGTCTGTTTTTTCTTGTTGGCGTCATATCCAAGAAATAATCGTCACGTCCAATGTCATGAAGCTTCTGTCTGTTTTCTCCTAAGAGTTTTATTGGTTTAGGTCTTACGCATTTAGGTCCTTGATCCATTTCGAGTTAATTCTTGTACATGGTGTTAAGAAGGATCCAACTTCATTCCTTTGCGTGAGGACAGAGGATGCATTCGCTTTCATGATGAAAAGATACAGACGTGTTCAAACAAACAGATGCAGGGCCCAGAACACAAAGCGAACAGAAACACAAGGCAGTGGCTGCAGACCGTGCACAGGGCCCCACCAGGGACAATGGGGCACCAGCTGAAGGCCCCAGGTACCTCTCCCCTCTAACAGAGGGAAACCAAGAACAAAAGGCCTGTCCCAGACCCCTGGTGAATTCCGAATAAACAGAGTAATGGGAGAAAAAAGAAACCCTAAAAAAGACCACAATTCACTGCAGTCGGTGCCTCCGCCATGCAGGGGCGAGAGGCTGCTTTCCCAGCCGACCCGTCAGGCTTTCCTTCTTAGAGCACCATGGCCTCCTGCCAGGCCCAGAGCAGAGGGGACAGAGGGGACTCCTCAGCAGGCACGACAAAGCATTTAGTCCTTTTAGAAGCAATTAAAATGTGTTTATGCAACTGACAAGACAATGGGAGTTGACAGGACTGGCAGAGTTAAGTTTAAAAACACCAAAGAAACGAGCACCGAGTGCACATCACGCTATTTAAACTTCAGTGAGAGGAAACCGCCCGGGAGAAGGTAAGGACGGCATTTATTCTTGGCCCAACGACCCGCTGGGAAGGAGCCGCGGCAGAAAAGGCTGAGTTGGAGCCCACGTGTACAAAGCGAAGGCTGCTCCCGCTGCATCTGCAGAGAGGTGCGCCCCAATGTGACCTCTCCTCAAAGCGGGGCAGGGAGGGTGTGGGCTCCACGTGGGCCCGCAGGTCCACCCCAAGCCCGGCTGTGCCCTTGTGTTGCCCACGCGCTGGGCTCGGTCTCCGCTGTGGGGGTGCGACCTCCAGGACGCGGCTGTCATCAGAGGAAGCCAGCAGATCTTCCTTAGGCAAAAAAACTAGCCTAACAGTGCAGACGAAAAGCTTCGGAAGCCTGTTTTAAACACTAGTTAGCACACCGCCTGCGGCATCCCCAAGGACTGAGGCCAACGCCAGGGAGGGGCGCAGACCGGAGGGCGCCATGGGGACCGGAGGCTCACGCCTAGGGACGACGGAGAGGGTGGGCGCAGGCCCGAGGGCGCCATGGGGGCCAGGGGATGGGGCACGCCGAGGGACATACTTGGGGAGGGTGGGCACACGCCCGAGGGCGGCAAGACGGGCGGCGGTAAAGGTTGCCAGCGCGTGCAGCCAGGCCAGGCCTCTCGGGGTCCCTCGAGGTGGCCCGCAGTGAGGACCGAGGAGGGGGCCTCAGCAAACAGCGCTGGGCGGGTCTGCGGACTAGGGCCCCGGCGCGAGGGGGGTAGCAGGGGAGGGTACCGGCGACAGAGGAGGTCCTGGGGAGGGGCTGTGCCCGATAGGGGTCCCGGCGGAAGCGGGCGGGGTTTCTCCCCAAAGTGGGTGGCAGCGTCCGAGATCGCAACCGGGATTCGGGAGGGGAGCTTCCCGTCGGGGGAGGTCGGTGGAGGGAACCCCGACAGAGGACTCCAAGGGAGGGACGTCTGGACGCGGCAGGGGGTTCCGGAGACGCTGTGTTCAGGCGGCTGAGGGGCGGTGGCGGCGGGGTATGTCGGGCCAGGAGGAGTCGGGACGCGCGGCGCCGCG